GGGAATATCATTTTTGCTGAAGTGTTGAGGTGAGTGCATAATTGTGAAAATGAGTAACAAAATTAACTGAAACAGAATAGAGGCGGGAGGATTTCAGAGTGGTCTAGGTATCACTGTTCTATAAATGAATAATGAGACTATTAACTGCATCACAAACGTGTCTTTCATTCAGTTCCTGGCATTTAATGCTTGAATGCAGGCTACTATTTAAAGTTTCTGACTAGTGCTATTGGAAGAGTAAAAGAAGGGGTTTTAGTTAATTTCAGCACACATTTACTGAGTGCCTATTCTTTGCAAGACAACGTTCTAGACAGGCGGAATATAAAAATATAAAGAGGCTTTTTTTTTTAAACCTTTGGGGAACTTATTTTCTAATTGGATAAAGAGATACATAATATTAATATGTAATCTCATGATGCCATGGTAATGCAGGTATTAAGGGAGGGAGATTTCATTTGCAGATTTATTGAGGAAATGATACTTGAGACTTGAAGGATTAGTGAGAATTAGGCAAATGAAGATGTGTTTGGCATTTCATGCATAAGAAATTGTGAGAGCAGATGCATGGAATTCTGAGATAATATGTTGTATGAGTGTGTGTGTGTGTGTGTGTGTGTGTATGTAAACATAAATATAAGCAATTCGATAGTACTAGATCATAAAACAGGAGAGGACGAATGGAGATAAACTGTAAGAATTGAAAGGGCCTGGTAAATCAAGAGTTTTGACTTTGTATGTTAGGGAGTGTATAATCTAATTAGGTTTAGCTGCATTTGTTAGACAATCTCAGAATAGCAATTGGTTAAATGAGATAGAAGTTCCTTCATCTGAAAGGCATCAGGTAGGCAACCTAGGATTAGTATGGTCTTCTGGGATCAAGGCTTCTGTTATCTTGTTCTTTCATCATTCTTATAGCATTGCCTCTTAGTCCAGATAACAGGAAAGAGGATGCTCTTTTTTCCCCCCTTAACTTGACTTCTGGAAAATTCCACACAATACCTTTATTTACATCTCACTGGATGCTTGCTCATAAGGTTTCACTTTCCAGCATAGGAAGCACATTGCTTCTCCAAGTAAAATTGGGTTCTGTTTGTAGGAAAGAAGTGGAATAACTGGCAGTGTTTATAACAGGGAGCCATAGAAGAGAAGTACAGTGGTCAGATGTCTCCTTTATATTGCTCTAAATGTATTTGGGGTGGAGGGTAAGGGTTGGAGAAGGAAGGGGAACAGGAAAGATTGAAGTCCAGGAGACTAATTTGGTTATTTCAGTTGTCTAGGTGAGAGATAAGATCTGATCTAGGGCTGCTGCTCTAAGAATGGAAAAGGGAGAATATGTATTAGTTGGTAATCTTGGCTGTAGGTAACAGAAACCAAACATAAATTGCCTTATGCAAAAATAGTGGGGATTTATTATTAGAGTTCAACATTCTCATAAGACATCTAGGTGTAGGAGGGCAACTGGGTTAAGAGTTGTGAATGCTTTTTGGAATCTTCTTCATTTTTTTCCCCTCTGAGTTTTATTTTTTTTTTCTTGAAACAGATCAGTTTTTGCTGAATTTCATTCCTCATGACAGAAATGGCCTCTGCCAATGCCTTTCCAGTTCTTCTTAGTTTTATATTATCCCATTTAGCTTTAATTTCAAATTCCTGGGGAATGACTCAGATTGAAATGATTTGGGTCAGGTACCTAACTTTGAACTAATCAGCTGTGACCAGGGGTAGAAGTAGGTTCCCATGGTAATCGTATGGTATTCACTCTATGGTATATTTGATAAATATCTTAGAAATGACAATTATAGGTTTGGATGGGTGAAGATGATCCTGAGTTTCTGACTTGGTTAAATGGGTGGTTGGTTGTGCTAGGTAACTTACTTTAGTAATACAGAAGGAGGAACAGATTTTGTGGAAGAAGATGATGGATTTATTTTTTCTTCTTATTGAGTTTAGCGTGGCATCCAAGTGTACTAGATAATTAAGTCACTGAAACTTTGTTAGACAAATTTGAAAGGTATCAGCACAATTGGTAGTAGTTCAAGCTATGAGAGTGGATTTAATGGCCCAAAGGGAATGTTTAGATATTAAAAAATGTAGTGAGCAAAAACTGGAACCCTAAATAACATAGATCTTTAAGGGCTGAGCAAAGGAGGAAGAGTGCATGAAGGAAATGGAGAAGAAACAAAGAATGGGAAGAGAACTGGAAAGCATCATGGAAGTCAAGAAAGTGAGTCATCACCAGAGTTGTATTGAGCAGAGAGATCTAGGGAGATAAAGACTGAAACATTTCGTTGAATTTGACAAAGTGGAAGCCATTGGTGAACTTTGAAGACCTTTTGGTAGATTAATGGGGACAATAGTTATATTGTAGAATTTTGAGAAAAATGTATGAAAGTGAGGGTATGAAGGCAGTGGATGTAGACTGCTCTTTCAAGTTTGTCTTAGAATGGAAGGTGGAAGATGAATTCCTGCTAGATGGATACACAAGGTCAAGGAAGGCCCCCCCACCCAGTGAAAAGGATGAAAGGATGGGAAATACTTGAGCATATTTCTAGGCTATTAGGGATCTTTGGTTGAAGCTATGAGAGAAGGAGATAATTGATGAAGAAAGGTCCTGGAAGAACAGGAATTTTGGGGATCAAAACCTTTGAGAGAAGATCTTCCTTGAACAGGAAGAGTTAATAGGCAGTAAGGATTAGGCACAGCTGCAAATAATTTTGTTGGAGGGTGGGCTGGAAGCTAAGGTAGCTTTATTTTTCTCAGTAAGGTAAGAGGAGGCATCATTTGCAGAGTGTATGAGGAATGGGAGTTGGTATAGAGCTTGAGGAAGGTGTTGAAGAAGGTGATGTTATCTGCCAGTGTATTAAGCTAGGTGCTTGGGGATATAATGTAGGCAAAAGCAGGTGCAGTTCCTGTATTTGTAGCACTTACTGCCTAGTGGGAGAGTGAGACATTCATTAATCATGTAGTCCCACAAATAAATGTGAAACTGATAAATGCTTCAAAGGAGAGTAAGAGAATAGAAGACAGAACTGATCAAGGACCAGTAAGGGGAATTCTACCCAGGAAGACTGAAGTTGCAGGTCATGATGACAGGATTTATCCAGAGTTGGAGATTGGTTGCAGTTGTGGTGATGAAGCAACTGATGGCTCCACTTAATGAGTTTAAGTGGTTGGACAACAGCTGGTAAGATAAAGAAAATTCATACCGTGTTTCCCTGAAAATAAGACCTACCCATAAAATAAGCCCTAGCAGGATTTCTAAGCATTTGTGCAATATAAGCCCTACCCTGAAAATAAGACCTAGTGATGGGCGTGGCTACGCAGCATATCTGCACAACCCATGCATTTCGTTGTGGAGCGGTAAAGAAGACCAGCAGCCCTTCTCATCTGCCCCATCATGACAGCTACTATCCCAGAGGTGATCGGAAAGGTGCGGGCAGCCCCACCAACAAGGTCTGCTCCCCCTGTCAGGTCCTGGCCATCCTGTGCATGCTTCAAGCCGAGGCTTTAAGGGGAAAAAAACACATCCCCTGAAAATAAGCCCTAGGGTGTCTTCTTGAGGAAAAATAAATATAAGACCCTGTCTTATTTTCAGGGAAACACGGTAGTTACTGAAGAAGACCAATGGCAAAATTCTATGGAACACTAACTTTTAAATTGTTTTAGTTAGATCTTAGCAAATTGGCACTCCCCCAAAGAAAGTGCTAATTTTTTCAGATTTCAAACTACCTTTTTGATGAATGACATCAAGAATTAGGAACAAGGTCCTCCCAAACTGATTTGATGATGTAAATATGAGTAGACCAGAGGTACATTTATAGTGATTATCTTATAAAATTTTAACTATAAATATAAATAACTAGTTCTGAATTTTCTATAAATCCAAATCAAGGCCTACATGAATGAATGAATGAATGGAAGAATAAAATCTGTTTTGCTTTGGGAAACAGTTGGCAGTTACGGTGGCAGAGCCCAAATATATTTATTTCATGTAGATTATACTTTTTGACAGACATATTTGTGTTCTCTAATCAAAAAAAGCTTTAGGTAATTTCTGAGAACTTTGTAGAATGGAATAATATTGGTCTCATTCAAGAAACCCAGATTCTGTTTGCTTTGCTGTTCACTCACTTTTCTCTCATTTGGCTTCAAAGTTTCTCAGCTGTGCTTTAACAGGTGGTTTGCGCTAGGTGATTTCTAGGATCTTTCCTACACTTAAGTTTTATAGCTCTGAAGGATAGATTTTAGAGCTAGACAGATCTAGATTCTATCCTGGTTCTCACACTTGGATACCATGGAGCCTGGACATAGTACTTAATTTGGAGGAGCTTTCCTTATCTACAAAACCAAAATCATACTTTATAGGGTTATTTTAAGGCTTCAGGGTGATAATGTATGTGAAAGTACTTAATACAGTACTTGACACAGAAGAGTAGATTGATGCATTTGTGGAAAACTAAGCCTAAACTCGGCATGATGGTCTGCACATAGTAGATATTGATGGAATACTTCTTAATTGATTTAATAATCTGGTATTTAAACATAGTAAGCAGAATGCCTCACTAGTCTGGCTGTTACCTGAGATCTCTGCATTTTTAGATTCAGGGAAATCTCAAAATTTGAAACTTAGGGGCAAACAGCAAACTTATTTGGGTGTTGTTTCCCCTGTTCTAATGAAGCAAAGACATGAGGATTACTGGGTGATGCAGGTAGGCACTGAAGCTCCATGCTGAAGTGAGTTCTCTGCCTGCCAGTTCTAATTTTTTTATCTTTCCTTTGGCTTGATAATAAACTGATAAGAAAATAAAAATAATTTGGTTATGTTTTGTGGGTTTAACCAAAATAGTGGATTACATGTTTTTCCTTCAAATTTTCAATGTCATTTTGTAAAGGGAAAATACTGTGTAAGAATTTTCTCTAGGAAGCTGAATTTCTACAGCACAGAAATTTTCTATGAAATTATGCAAATTTGAGAATTTCACTTCTATGTTAAATTTTCTTAGAGCTCTGAAGATGAGTGGGTTGAAGCTGTTCCATCCCAGACTCTTGGCAAGGAAAAGGCCTGGAAAGTGAAAGGTGAAAAGTCAGAACAAGAAGATGACAAGCAAGTTATTCAGGTAAGCAAGCCACCAGATTTTAAAGCAAGAAATGTCAACTTCTAAGAATAGATGAATGTTGAAACGAAAGATGATTATAATTCTTCAGGAGAAAAATTAGACCCTGAAAACAATGTATTTTTTGAATAATTTTGGCAGTAATGCTATTTGCTGAGCATTTAGACTCCCTTTCTCTTCCTGCTGTGAGGAAATGAGTGCTCATCTCTATTCTAGTCCCTTAGGGTTTTTCTGCATCTGGTTGATAGAGAAGTGGCACTTCCCCCTTATATATGGAAGCCTTATACTGTTACCTCTATCTGACCTTTCTGCAGTGAGTAGAGTTCAATCACACTTTTCTTTCCCTTCACTTCATACCTTCATTTTCCTAGAAGTACTTACAATTGAAATAGTTCACAAATTTTGGGTCATAGTTCATATGCCTAAGGAAGAATGTAATTTATCCACTCTTAGCCATAGATAAAGGAAGACAGATGAAAAGGAACTAATGTTTGATTGCTTGTTGTGTGCCAGGCACTGTGCTGGGTGCCTTATATTATCTTGTTTACTCCTTAAAACAATCCTGAAAGGTAGGGATTTTATCCCATTTTATTAGGGGAAAGACTACGGCATAAAGATATTAAGAAACTTCCTTAAAGTTATATAGCCATGTCAGATTTGATTCAGGTTTAATTGCCTTCAAAATCCCTGCTCTTATTAGTTGTAATCAGTTCAGATTGAAATGGCTTCCTTTATTATTATTTATATTACTATTACGTTCTAATCAGTTCAGATAGAAATGGCTCCCTTTATTATTTACATTATTAAGTTCTAATCAGTTCAGATTGAAATGGCTTCCTTTCTTTAACAGAGAGATGAATGGATGACTGTTGATTTTATGTCTGTTAAAACTATGTCATCATCATCACTCAAAGCTGAAAAAGAAGCTCTGAGGAAAATAGAGCAAGAGAAAACTCAAGCACTTGAGCAGGTAAGAGGATGTTTAAAATGCTTTAGCCTTCTAAATTGCCTTTACTAAACTGATAAGACATTTATATTAATACAATTTTACTTATAAAATATTATTTTATCTTTCGTGGTGTTTAATAAAATCAGTGAGAACAACTGAAATGTGATTTGGGTTCTTTAAAGTAAATTTCCTATAGGAAGTCAGTTTAAAGGAATACTAGATTTATAAATTTAGGGCACATATAGCTGAGAGTGAATATTGAGTTTAGGTTAATGTCATTGAATTAAAAGTGAGCCCATTTGACTTCTGTTTTAGTGTTCATACTGAATTAAATACCATAGAAATGCTTCCATTTCAAGACACCTAAAAATTCTGGATAAAATATAAGCATTTTTATTTTATGTTTTATTGTTGTCACCTTGCTGGTAAGAAAACAATGGGAAATCTTTAGAGGCTAAAAAATGAGGCAAAAGCATGAATCCAAAGAAGTAAGGAAATGCTGAAGCTGGTCGCTTTCCTGGGGCATCACACAATCCTGATAATTTAGAATTTCAATTTTAATGGATGCTTAGGGATAGGATATAAGGGCAAGAGTCTGCATGAGTTGGGAAAGTCTGATTGATAAACCCCTAAGGGATATACCCCACAGGGATATATTTTCAATTAAAGGATGAACTTGGAAAGAAACCCAATTGAAGGCAAGAAAACTTGCCTGTCTTGTCAAACATCTTGTATGGTAGAGGGGGGGAAAACCTCTCTAGGGAATATGTAACTACAAGCTGGCACTATCATGGTTTGTAGCTTGGATTCATAGGGTTTATGGCTCAAATTCATACTACCTATGTGGTCTGAAAAATCTTTAAAGTGGGAATTTATTTTAAAATATTCTTTTTTAAAAATTAATTAGTTAATTAATTAATTTTAGCGTATTATGGGGGTACAAGTGTTAAGGTTACTGATATTGCCCATGCCCCCCTCCCCCTCAAGTAAGAGCTTCAAGCATGTCCATTCCCCAGACGTTGCACATCTTACTCGTTGTGGTTGTATATACCGCTCCCCTCCCTCCTCTCCCCTCCCCTCCATCCCTTCTCCCTCCCTCCTCCTCCCTCTCTTCCCTGCCCTCCTCCCTCCCACCTTCCCAACACTGGATAAATGTTACGCCTATATGCCCACTCAGGTGTTGATCTGTTAATACCAATTTGCTGGTGAGTACATGTGGTGCTTGTTTTTCCATTCTTGAGATACTTCACTTAGTAGAATGGGTTCCAGCTGTATCTAGGAATATACAAGAGGTGCTGAAAAATCTTTAAAGTGGGAATTTATTTTAAAATATTCTTGAGTTGGTAGTGCCTTGAAGTGCTTGGCAGAAGTAACCACTTGTCCTTTCTAGATGATCACACTGTCAACCTAGGCCTCACAGTTTTCGCAGAAACAAAGTTCTGTGGAATATAAGCTCACATCGTCAAATCACAAAATACATGAAAATATGAGGTCAGTACTTGAAAGACAGTTGTCTGAAACAATAAACAGTAGAATCCACAAAACCTTTATCTATTGGATTACTTAATATAGCTTTAGAAAGTAACAGCAGGTATATGCATGTTCTCACTTATAAGTGGGAGCTAAACTATGGGCACAGAGTGGAAAAATAGACATTGGAGACTCTAAAATGTGAGAGGGTGGGAGGAGTGCAAGGGATGAAAAATTACCTATTGGATACAATGTACCCTCTCCAGGTGATGGATACACAAAAAACCCAGACTTCACCTATACACAATATATCCATTTAACAAAACTGTGCTTGTACCTGCTAAATATGTATGAATAGAAAAAGAGAAAACCCAGAAGCAAACCATACCCCCCCCAACAAAACAAAAAAAATGTGTTGTAATAAGGTTTGCTTACAAATGTGTTTCTCTGTCAATCTGTCCCATTCACTAAAAGAAAACAGTTTATGGTGCATCTTATAGACTGCATGCTTACATTTGCCTTTTATTGCTGGATTTCTATTCCCATGTGGCCCCTATTAGGGCCACATGGGAAAAGAAACATGTTCTAATAACATATTAGCTTAGAAAGGAGTTTGTCAAACTCTTTCATTCACTGAAAGAAAACAGCTTATGTTGCATCTTTAAGAAAGCATGCTTACGTTTGCCTTTTATAGCTGCATTTGCAAACCTGTGTAATGTGAACCAATGGAGAAAGAAAAGTTCTAATAACATATTCTGAATGTTTGCTTTCAAGAAAAAAAACAAAAGTAACAGGAGGTATAGAAAATATGAGTAAGGAATAAAAGGTTAAGGAGGCAGATTTGAGAAAGAGCTAACAAGAACTTCTGATGATGGAAGCTCCACTAGTGATACCGTGTTTCCCTGAAAATAAGGCCTACCCATAAAATAAGCCCTAGCAGGATTTCTAAGCATTTGCGCAATATAAGCCCTACCCCGAAAATAAGACCCAGTGATGGGCGTGGCTACGCAGTGTATCTGCACAACCCATGCATTTCCTCGAGGAGCAGTAAAGATGAGCAGCCCTTCTCATCTGCCCCAGGAAAGCTCTATTGCTTGACATGAGAGACGGGGGCCAATGGTTCTAAAGGAAATAGAGTCGCAAGAAATTCAGGATGGAATTCGGGGTTTGGAGAGTTATGATGATGTTCCAGAAGAAGACGACTTAACTATATTTGAATAAATGTAGATTGTTGTACAATACTTCAAAAAAATAACACATCCCCTGAAAATAAGCCCTAGGGTGTCTTCTTGAGAAAAAATAAATATAAGACTCAGTCTTATTTTTGGGGAAACATGGTATGTCATGCCACCCTCTTTTCTCATTCTGTCCCTGAGAATATGGAGTAAATTTTCTACTGGAAAATTTGGAAAAAATAAACTGAATATGCTCAGCTTAGCTCTGCCTTTCCTGCTTGTGGAACAGGCTGCCTGCAGAGACCTGGTAGGGAATGAGGTAGAGGTAGGGTTTGGTTGGCGCTTTCTGTACCTGAAAAAGTCTTCCTCATTGTGAGATTCAGTTAACAGGCCTGTTTGGCTTTCACTGAAAGATTTTCTTCCAATTTAGCCTTCATCAATAATAAAGGTGATTTTTTGTATTTATTTCCTATGCTTTTTATTTCTCAACTTGTTCAGAGCCTGGACTGTATTTATTGTTCTCTTTCAGAGACTCAAAGTTGCCTACAAATATAGTCCAGTCTCATTAGATTGATGTTTAAGGTAAATGTTTTTTCTCAGGTAATTTGTACCTCAACCATACTAGTTTAATCACTCGTTCATATTTCTCTGCAAATTCCTGCCTCTAAATTTTTGTTCATTTGTTCTAGTGAATTCCCTTCATCTCTGTATGCCTGCATCCTGTTTATCCTTAAAGGCCTATTTCATATATACTATGAAACTCTTCCTATTTTCCTTGAGTGAAATAAATCTCTTCTTTCTTTATGTTTCCATAGCATTTTGTTCTTTTACTATATAGTACTATTAATAGTAGTTTTCTACAAAGTACTCATAGGATGGATGATCTTATCCTATTTCCCTTATATAAACTTTTGAGAAACTCTGTTTTATTTATTAATATATTTGTATCTTCCTTAACAGTTAGTTTAGAATTCTGCACATCGTAGGAACCTTTTCACTTTTTGTATATTTGAAATTGTAGATTTAGTCTCCTTTCCTCCATGAATTCTAATTACTTTGCTGTTCTATAAATCTTTGGATTTTGTTCTGAAGTTTGGTAATCTGTAGTAATTCAAGAATTTTGCTTAGGTAAGAATTCAGATGGTTGTATGCAGAAGTAAATCATCTAGACTAGTGAGTGAGATTAGCCAGTTTTCACCACCTGCATGTCAGTTTGGGTATGTTCTTTGCACATCATCATATTATTTTATTTTTTTATTTTAATTTTTTTTGAGATAGAGTCTCACTTTCTTTGTTGCCCAGGCTAGAGTCAGTGCCATGGCATCAGCCCAGCTCACAGCAACCTCAAACTCCTGGGCTCAAGCAATCCTGCCTCTGCCTCCCAAGTAGCTGGGATTACAGGCATGCACCACCATGCCTGGCTAATTTTTTGTATATATATTTTTAGTTGGTCAATTAATTTTTTTCTATTTTTAGTAGAGATAGGGTCTTGCTCTTGCTCAGGCTGGTTTTGAACTCCTGAGACTCTGTCTCAAAAAAAAAAAAAATAAAAAAAAATAAAGCTACTGGTTTTCAAAATGTGGGTCATGAATTTAATTTATTGCAATCAGCACTTAAAAATATAAAATATCAGCATGTGTTACATGTAAGAAAGATTTTTTTCCCCCTAAAACTCTTATTTTGGACACACACACCCACACACACACACACACCCACACACACACACACACACACCCAACTCTCACCATGGGTCAGGTTCACAGAAAAATTTGAAAGCCAATGCTTGAGGCTGTGTCTGCTGTGTCCTCTTCTTTCTTTATGCCTGCATTGTGTTACAGGCTGTACACCAGTGGCACTTATCCGTGGACCCATTCTGTACCTTATACCAATTCTTCAGCCACCTTTCATGAGCAGTAGCTCTCCCTACCTCAATCCTTGAGTTCATGTGGTGGGACAGATTCCATTCTTTTGTCTTAGCTGGAGTGCTTTTAGTATTTTTTTATCTTACACAAATTGAACTCAGCACTATCTCTTTTGGCTTACACATAGAGCCATGTAGGCCTGTGGCCTCAGTCCTTTGTACTGCTTTGCATTTCTGTTCTGTTTCTGATCCACAGAGATGTTTATCTTGTTTTGAACTCAGGTATGTTTTATATTATATATCTTTTCTGTTTGTCCTGAGTGGGGAGATCGTGTTGAAGTGGAAGCGTAATAAGCCATTTTGATGATGAAGTGGACGCTTAATAAGCCATTTTGACTAGAAGCCCTGAACATGTTTTAGAGATTGATTCATGTTAATATATTTTATTTCTGTTTCATTCCTTTTAGCTGTTATGTAGTCTTTCATCATTCAACTATACCCTACTCTAAATATCCATTCATTTACTTATGGAGGCTTATATTGTTTACTGTTTTTCACTATTATGAACAGTGTTACAGTGAAGGCCTTATATGTATTTTTTCATATATATGTGTACAAATTTCTCTATGGTGTATATCCACAAGTGGAATTGCTTACTTATAGAGTACGCACCTATCTTCTTTTACAAATACTTGCGAAGAGATTGTAACAATTTATGTTGTTCCAGCAACATGTTCCTTTTCCAACATGTAGTATCTGTAATTGTCAAAATTAAATTTTTGCTGGACTAACCAAGGGGTAAGAAATGGTATTGTATTGTTTTTATATGTATTTACATGATAATTAAAGAAAGATCTTTTCATGTTTTTTGTTGATTTCTTACAGTGTGAACTGCTTGTTTATGTTTGTTGCTTTTTTATTAGGGTCCTTTGATTTTTTTACTCATTTATAGAAGTTCTTTATGTTTTCAGTCCTCAGTCTTTTATACATTTTCAGATAGTCCCTCACAGTTTTTCTAGCCTCTTGTCAATTGTTCTCCTCAGTATGTAATTCTAGCCTTTTAAAAAAAATCCTGTTGAGTATCTGATGTGTATCTCCTTGTGTGTCTAGATAAGACCATTGGAAGAAATTCCTTGATTATAGATACTGACAGATTTTATATTAAACTAACAGGGAAGGTGACAGAAAATTTTTTGCTGCAAACTACTCTAAGAAATCAAATGCTTGTGGTTTGCGGTTTTGCTTATCTAAGTTAACCTTTAACTTAAATTTTGTCCTTTGAAGATTCTTTACTTTTTTGTCAGGTCATGGATACATCTAAAGAGCTGTCTTTTTTTTTTTTTTTAAAGTTTACATAGCATTTTTATTTTCAATGATTATGGTTCATTCATATTCCTGGAAACTAAAGTTCCTAGCATTTAATGCTTTCTATTTCTCTTCGTCCTATTGCAATTATTAGTTCTTGGAGGAAGCATTTTCTGACCTCCAAGGTCAACTTAGATATCACTAGTATGTAGTTCTATAACACTGTTTACTTTCACAGTGCTTATCTATATTGATATTGCTTAATTGTCTTTCCCCTTGTCTAGACCATAGTTTCTTTGATGTTAAGGACCATGCCTACCTTACTCATTATAATCACAGTGCCTGGCATCATGCTTGGAACACAGGAGGCACTTCCATTGTGGTTAGGCTGCCATCATCTATTGTCTGGGTAACTGCCACAATCTCCTGACAGGATTTGTGCCTTTATCTTGTTCTTCTCCAGTCTTTCCTCCACACTGAAGCCAGTTTGCTCTTTGTGTAATATGAAGCTGATCATTTTCATGAGTGTCCATTGCCCTCAGCATAAAACCCCAACAACAGTTCAAAATGGCTCATGTGGCCTAATCCCTGATTATTCGACAACCTAATCTCATGTCATTACTTACGCTAAATGTTAGCCAGTCAGAATTACTTTGTTTCCTGAAACTACTGTGTTTTCTCTTTCTCTAGGTTTTAAGAACAGGCTGTTATTTTTTCTACCTTGATTCTCTTTATCCTCCTTCCCCCACCCAAAAAAGAAAACTGATCTTCTTTAGGTCTAAGACTGTACATATTAATACTTCCTGTAGGAAGACTTTGATCTTTCAGTGTGAGAGGGGTTTGAATTCTTTGTGCAGTTTTAGTACTCTGTATTTCTGTCTTCAAAGTATGTATTAGTTATATATTGTCTGTATTCTTCACTATATTATAAGCTATCAAGGGCTGATCAGGGTTATTGACAGTTACATCTTCTATATCCAGCATAATTCTGAGACATGCTAGGCATTCAATAAAAACATTGAATGAATGTGAATTTAGATATTATTTCCTGCAAGTTACATGACTTATATTAAGAATAGCATATGTTAAGAAAGTTTTAATTGATTTGTCCAGGGTTACAACTGTTAACTGGGATACAGATTTATTATTTGTTAATACTGTTTTGTTGTGGGTTTATTTTTAAAATCTGACCTCCGAAAATGTTTTCTTCTAGTCCAAACTGCTGGAAAGAGAATTGAATCCATATTGGAAGGATGGTGGGACAGGTCTTCCACCAGAAGACTGTAGTGTATCATCAATTAGTAAAGGTATTTCTGTATTTTGATTGTAGACACATAGGCGTTTCTTATAATTTGGTATTACTGAAGGAATGACCCGAGTTTACATATGACAAAGCATTGATAAAATATTTGAAGTCTTTTGAAGCTTTATTTAAATTATTAGTACTTTGCAAGATTGTTTTAATTGTGATGTATTTGGAACAAGTTGATTAAATACATAGTTTTATACTTGATAATGTTCTCATATTTGAGTTTCTATTTAAAATGGCTTACTACAAAATATGATTCTGTGAGGATATAATAATGCATTTCATTTGTTACATTCTATAGCAGAATGTAAACAGTACTAAGTCTGTGAAATTTCATGAAAATGATGTATAAACATTAAAGATGTTATCTTCAGAAATTCCTGCTTTGCTAGCATTCATAAAATTTGTATTGATCTTAGGAGAGTGCTGTTATTTTCCAGCAGATGGAGACAGAATATTTGTGACAGATATGCATACTTAATAACATAATTTAAAAAATATTTATATGCCCATTAAGTGTTGCATTTACATCTCAATGAAAAGTTTATTTAGTTTCTATTAACCCAGCATATAGATTATGTATCATAAATTACATGATGTTATCTTTTCATCTTAATGATTTATTAGTAGGATATTTTCCTGCTTTTTACACATTGCTCATTTTTATTTTAGCTATTTGTTAAAATTTTTTTTTGTTTTTTATGTATTGATGTCCCTAGAGCCACCTTACAGGTTTCTTTATAATTTTATCTAGCACTTTTACTGGAGTTGTTAGTAATTGTAACAGTTTCTTTTTGCCTTTTAGCATGGGCAGAAGTGTCTCTGTTGGGTTATGTAATAGTAACTGTAGTCATACAAGGTTCTCTTTGAAATATTGTTTTATAGAAACTTAAAAAATGTTTGGGAACAATAAGTTAGCTCAGTGAATCATTACCATGTAGGAAGGATTTTGTGATCCATGCTTTCAGCACCCCTATTGTCCAAGGACAGTCAATAAATTTATCTTTGGGGAAAACCTAGAATTGACAAACCTAGTTTTTGGACATTTACAGTTGGAAAAGACCTGGAGTTCTGCCTTAGGTTAGACTCTTTTAACTGGCTGAAACAGCAAAGTCAAAGAGACTGGGGGAAAATGACCTTACATAAAGCTTTTAGAGAGCCCTTCTCTTTTGCTCTTCATATCATGCTTTCACCACTTCCCTTTTCCTTATTATATTTATTCAGAAGGAAGAAAAATGACAGAAAGCTTCTGTCAGAAGCTCAGATCACAGAATTGAAATTAAGTTTTAAAAAATGATTGGGTTTTACTGTATATGCAGATAGTGTTACCATTCTGTTTAGACCAGTGGTAGTGCTGAAACTGTGAGGCACCTAAAAGTGTTATAATATCAGTATGAAGGAGGTAAAGGTAACTTAGTGTTGTTAAGTTCTCAGAGTTTGAAGTCAGTTTACTTAGGATTAAAATTTTGATGTTTGTACTTATTAGCATCGTGACTATGGGAAAATTCTTGGATCTCTCTGAGCCCAATTTATTCATTTGTAATAGGGAATAATGATAGCATCTATCTTATATAGTTATTGTGAAGTTTAAATTAGAAAATCTTTTAGCACAGTATCTGGAATATACTGAATTCTCAATAATGATGATGTCAAATACTTGTTCTATCAAGCTTTTATCAATATATTTTGGGTAATGAATGAGGTTTCATGTTTTCAATAATTAATTTTGTTAATCTTGATTATTTTTTTCTTAGAGAAAATTAGATGGAAAAGTTTAAGTAAATTATTTTCAGAGCCCATACAAAATTATTTGAAATCACGTCTTGGTAATGGGAATATTTGTACAATTTTAGAGTTTACATAGCACATTTATATATCAGCTTATTTTTATAGCAACCATGTGAGGAGAGCAGAGCAGATGTTATTATTCTAATTGTTGCAGCTCAGGAAACTAGGGCTTAAACTGACCAGGTAATTTTTCTGTAGTCATATGAATAGTACTAGAATCAGATCCTCTGATTCCTAGTCCAGACTTAATTACCCTGGATTCTTTAGTAGAAGACTATTATTTCTTATCACATAGTTAGTAGAAATTTTTGCTTGCAGACACTTTTGATATGGTTTTGTTCTTTCTATTGATTATTTTCCACCTGTTTATTTTTTGGCTTTCTCTGCTAGAGTCTTTAAGTTATAAGGAGTTTCAAAGGTGGTTTAAGTCAGCTACCTTATTTTAAAATGAAGGAGCAAAGGTCCAAAGAAGTTAATGACATGCTTCAGATCTTCTAACTATTTAGTAGTAGCAGCAAGACTAAAATCAAGGTCTCCTGATATTTAATTTTTGTTATTTCAATATTAGTCTGTCTTCAGAGAGAGAGGGAATATAGCCCAGATTCATTTGGTTGTATTTTGTCTGTAACAGTATAATTTTGAACTATATTGGAAACATACACTGACATATCTAAGTTTTCAACTTACTATGAAAAACAGATTTGCGATACAATATATATATGTAAATTTGCTATATACCAGTGAATTTGGTATAATTAGTTGAGGTATCTTTATTTCAGTGTAGAGGACTTGGAACCATGCCATATTCATGTTTTTACTTCTTACTGTGTTTAACAAGTTTTCATATTCATAGTAAATATTCACTAAATATTTGTTGCTTGAATTTTAGGATAGTATTGCAAATTGGTATTTTTTGTTTGCTTTTATATATTAAATTTGGTGATTTTTTTAATTAAAAATACTTCGTTATTACCATCTCTAATTATAAAATTAATAGGACTATTGAAATAGGAAATATTAGCCATAAAAGATGATTTATTATATAAATATTTTTAAAGGTGTGAATTTAACTTGTGACTGAATTGGCTGAAATTTTTATTCCCGTAAGATTTTCTTTTTAAATGTCAGTATAGAAGAATACAAGCAGTCTTACTTTTCCTATGATGTATTTTTTTCTCTGAGCTATGTTAATATCTTGGTGATTGTTCTGGAACTTTCACTATGCCCATCAGCATTTTATCAGTTCACAGATAATTCTGTGGAATAAACAATTTAATTGTATAGCGGATACATTAATATAGGTATTTATTACTATAGATTTCTTTTACTTATCACTGTGTGGATTGTAGATTTAGACTAAGTTCCTTGGGTGATTGTACTATTAATTTTGATCGTATAGACTGTATTAAAGAAAAAAAGAGCAAGAGTAAAATGAGCTTTGAATGAAAAATGAAATCATTGAGTTAACTAGAGATCTAGGTTTTGAAAGATAAAATATTTTAGACCTGTAAAGAAGGGCCACTTTATCTTAGAAGAGATGCTTAGTAAAGGTAAACTTTTGAGATTTGAGTGTGAGAATAGAATTAATTTGAATAGAATTAGTTTGAAGATCGGAAAATCTCTTCTTTCTTTAAGTAAACTTTATTGAAATCTAGCATACATAGAAAAGTACACAAGCCATAAGTGTACCACAGAGTCATCATTTTTATGAAGTGAAAACAGCTGTGTAATGAGCACACTGTTTGAGAAACAATATTATTAGAAATCCCCTTTGTGGCCCTTCTAGTCTGTGCCCTGTCATGAGACAGGTAACTACCATCCTGGTTTCTAGTACCAAAAATCAATAATGTCTTCCTTTGTTTCTGGCTCCTTTTGTCCACATTTTGAGATTCATCCATATTGTTGTGTATAGTTATAGCTCGTTCATTATTCTTGCTGTATAATAGTCTATTTTAGGAATATATCACAATCTATATATCCCTTCTACTGATAGTGAACATTTCCTAGGTTGTTTCGAGACTGGGATTATTGCAGACTGCTCTTCTATGAATATTCTTGTACATGTCTTTTGGGGCCCAGATATGAACATTTTGTTGGTTATAGAGCTGTGGTGATCTTATAGCAGCCCTATTTTGGGGCAATGAAAATCAGGAACAGAATTTTGATTTAAGCAAGTCATTTGATTTTCTTTACACATATCAAAAGTGTTGTGTGTTTAGAAGGAAATAAAACCAGCTTAATAAAATTTGTTGAAGGCATTCAAATGTTCCTAGTTGGTAATCATGACTAGTGTAAGATAATTTGTTTAAACATCCATTTTAGTATTATCTTCCGTAACTTCCTTGTTTATTCTTAATGCTACATCCGAGATAGGTTTTTCCTTTCTATGCATGTGCCTTTATTCCTTATTTATTTCTGGGAATGTCTGCCCTACTCTTACCATTTTTTATAGAAATCCAACTTATTTTCTTGAGTCTGGTTTATGGAATTTTCCCTAACATCCTAATTAGAAATAATCCTTCACTTTTCTTATTTTCTATAACCCTTTATATTGTATCTTTTTATAGTAGTTGTCACATATTTGTCTTTATTGCAATTATTTATATCCTTTTATTTTCTTAGATTGAAATTTTCTTGAAGAAAATTTATCTTTTCTTCATAGTGGCGAAACTCTAGCTTGCTTATATAGTCACTGAAATATATGTTGAATTTTAAATGCATTTATGATTTCTATATATTTAAGGAAAAATATTTAATTTTATACCTTAGAAGTCATCATAGAAGCAATATTTTATGAGAACCACATTAAAAGTATAACTAACATTTATACTGGAATTTAGTTTCAGTAGTAGAAGATGGTGGATTAAGCTGGCTGAGGAAGTCTTATCAGAGAATGAAGGAACAAGCTGAGAAACAAAACAGAAATTTTGAGGACATTGTAGCTGAAAGATACGGAGTGAGTATCTGTACTAAGGAGATACATCTTATTATCAGAGTTATCTGAAAAATTAAGTGCATTTAATTTTAAGTGCCATGAAATTCTTTTGAATTAAATGGATATTAAATTTCATATCTTTATACTGCTAAAGTAATTTTCTGCTTTTTATTATGTTAAATTATGTATCATATTTTTATTGACTTAAGGAATATAAAATTTAAGTATATAAAGATGAAGTATGTGTGTTTAACATAGAAATAACATTTTCTTGTTGTAAGAAAATTTAAATAGTGCAGAAAAGCCTGCATACTACACCTCTGGAGATAACCACTGTTGAAATTTTGGTATATTTCTAGAGTTTTGGTATTTTCTAGAGTTTTTAAAGAGTGTATATGAGTATGTATACTCTTAAAACAATGGAGCCCATGTGGCAGTATATGATATTTTAGAACCAGTTCTTCCATTCTCCATGTATGGATAATCTTTCTATTTCAGTAGTTATTGATGTCCCCCTTTTTTGTTTTCTCTTTCTTCAATTTCCAGAGGAAAGCAGGCTTAGAAAATAGTAAGATTTTAGGCTGGGTACAGTGACTTATGCCTGTAATCCTACACTCTGGGAAACCAAGGTAGGAGGATCACTTGAGCTCAGAAGTTCGAGACCAGCCTGAGCAAGAGTGAGACCCCATTTCTACTAAAAATAGAAAACTTAGCTGGGCATAATGGCACATGCCTGTAGTCTCAGCTACTTGCGAGGCTGAGACAAGTGGATTGCTTGAGCCTAGGAGTTTGAGGTTGCAGTGAGCTATGATGACGTCACTGCACTCTATACTTGGGGTGACAGAGTGAGACTCTGTCTCCAAAAAACAAAAAGGAAGTAGTAAGACCTCAAAATATAGGCATGCCAAAAAGAGAAAAAAGGAGTAAAAATCATTTGTCCTCCTAAGAGAATCTTTGTTAACATTCATTTCAGAATATAGTTTTCTAGACTATTTTTTTCCTTGTGTTTTATAGCAGGCTCATAGACTCTACCCTGTTTCTTTTACTTACTAATACAGACATAGTTGGATACCAGTAACATATATATATTTTAATGACCTCTTAATATTTTCTTACATATTTATATGGTTTTCCATTATTTATTTATTTAAATGTCAGTGAATGGACATTTATATGCTTTCCCTTTCCCTGTTTAATAGTCACTGGCTATTTTTGTCCAATGCATTTTGCATATTTATCTGGTTATTTTCTTAAGGTGAATTACTAAAAAATGAAATTGCTTTTAAATAGATATTTAAAGTGAGATATATATTGCCAAATTTCTCTACAGAATGAACAAATTGTTCTTATTAAAAAGTATCTTTTATCACATAATTTTCAACAGTAAGTTTATTTTTCTTTATTGTCATTGCTGTTGTGATTAGTAAACATTTTTTTTTTTTGCTTTTATTTTTATTCATTTGTTTACTAGTGAACCGAATCTTTTTACACTTATTTTGGCCATTTTTTTTTTTAAGTGAATTGACTATTGATACTACGTGTGCATGTTACTTTTGGGATAATGATTTACTCAAGGCTTAACAAATCTGTTTAAGTTTCTTCCCCTTAGTTTTATGTTTGCTTTTTCCTTTGCTGATAATTTGCTGTGGGTACTTTTTAAGTATTTTTACCTTGCAAAATTCTTTATATATATTTCTTTCATGACTTAATGCTCTTGGTGTGATTCATAGACAGGTTTTCCTCACTCCAAAAGTCATAAAAATGTGCACCTATGTTTATTTTGAGTACTTGTTCGGTTTTATTTTTTATATTTATCTTTAGTCTTTCTGGAATATATTAATTATTTGTATATGGTGTGAAGTAGGCATCTTACATCTTTAGATAGCCGTTTACAACATATTGAATGAATTGTTCTTTTCCCATTACTTTGAAATGACACATTTATTATAAATTAAATTTCTTATATGCATATGTTTGTTCCTTTACTTTCAGATCTGTTTCACCGGGTTGTCTCTTTTATTCCTGGAATTAGTCTCATTAGTTATAATTATTGTAGTTTTCAGTAGTTTATACAGATAGCAAATAATTAGTGAATACCTACTATGTGGGCAGGGTAAGTCTTGTTAGTCACTAAAAAAATTAGCTTTTCTTTATGTGTTTTTTTCTAATTAAAGTTAGAATTATTTTGTCAAGTTCAAGCTCAACAAAAATAAGTTTTTCAAAATTCCTTATAAAGTTACAACTCTTTTTGGAATCTTGATTTAAATTTAACTAGACAAATCAAGTACAACTAATATTTTTTGTTTTCTTAATGTTGAGCAAATGAATCTTCTGTTGACTTAATATTGAGTCATCTTTTCCTGAAACGTACTGGGTGTTTCTCTATTCAAGGTTTCATTTATGTTGTTTAGTAATTTTCTCTGTGTAGTTATTATGTATGTATCATTGAGGTTATTTTTATTTGTCATTGAGGTTATTTTTATTTTTTCACTTGTAATTTGAATATTTTTATATTTTGTGACTTGCTGTTGATATTAGTCCTCCAATTTTTTAAACTCTTATTATAAGAGTTGTTAATTATTAATTATAATTTATTATTATAATTTTATTATTAATCATAATTTTTTTAAAAATTTGGCTTATCTGGGAAGGTAGTTATGTGCAAATGATGATTATTTTTATTGTTTCCTTTTAGTGTTAAACTTTTTTTCTTCTTGAAATAGAATTTTAGAACTTTGATAAGAGTGTTAGAAGCTAGTACTCTTATCTTTGTGTGTTTAAATGTTGCCTTCCTATGTTTAAGATGAATATTATCATGTTTAAATAAAGTATCCTAGTATTGAAGTTTAATAAGAGGTGTTTTTTATTTTTTAAATTTTTTATTTTTTTAAGTTTAATTTTTGTATCATATATATTAAGGTATACAGCAATGTTTTGATACATGCATAGTAAAATGATTACTATAGTCAAGCAAATTATATATCATTTATCTCACATGGTTACCTTTGTTTTGTGGTAAAAGTTACTTAAAATCTATTTTCTTAACTAATTTCCAGCATATAATATAATATTATTAATTCTAGTCCTCCTGCTGTATATCAGATCTCTAGGCTTATGTACCTTAGGTAACTAAAACTTTGTAACCATTGACCTCCATCTCCCCATTTCTCCTACCCCCATAACCACCTTTCTGCTCTGTTTTTATGTATGAGGCATCTTTTCCTTGAAAACTGTATTTGCAACCTCAAGAATAGTTATTTAGACTTGACCATTACATTTGACATTTGGTTTATAGCATCTTTTGTTTTTTGTCAGAGATCTTTGCCCTAGTTCATTTATGGTTTGGCTTAATCATCTTCTAAGTAATTTTTAATCATATTAAGTAATTAGTAAGTGATATGCTTCTTATTCTTTACAATTTTGAAAATGATTTTCTTTTGCTGATTCTAGGGAAGGATAATTTGACTGTGAATTGAATTCTTTGTTTTTTTATTTAAGAGATAGGTTTTGCTATGTTGCACAGGCTGGATTCAGTCTCCTGAGATCAAGTAATCCTCCGGCCTCAGCCTCCCAAGTAGCTTGGGCTACAGGCATGCACCACCATGCCCAGCTTGAATTCTTTATACAGAATTATAGCCTAATATTTTTTTTTCAAAATTTGATCTTTAGTCCATTGTCCATTTAGTATTATAGATGAAAAGTTGATAACAATCTTTCTTTCCTTTGTAGGTAACATGTTATTTACTTTCCCCATCCATATACACACTCACACTTATTTACTCCTTTCCCAATCCAGTATTTGTGAAGTTTTGAGATTCGGGATTTAGAGTTTTTTTTCCTGTGTAAGTCTTTCTTTGTTTCCCTTCCCCTCAAGGATATTAGATGAGCCCTTCTGATCTGGAAAATCAGCTGAGGGAAATTTTCCTATAAATGCTTTGTTAACGCTTTTCTCCCATCATCTTTGTTGCTTATTTGTGGAAGTACTAGTACATGCATATTAGATTCTCTAGAATCAATTGTTCATGTGTCTTTTTTCTTATAACTTACGTTTATTTACTGTCTTTTCCTAAAGTATAGAGAATTTCCAAGCTAATTTGGTTTTCAACACTTTCTGTTCCTTCAGTGTATCAGGGCAATTTTTTTGGACATACAGTTTTTCATTTATTAATGCAAATCTTTCTTGTTTCTTGAACTATTCTTTTTGTCATGAGAGTCTGTTATATTTTAGCAATACAGTAACTTCTTGAATCTCACTACCAGTAGGGATTATTTTTTTAAGAGTTTATGACATTACTATTTTCTTTTTCTTTCTTTCTTTTGGAGACAGAGTCTCACCTGTTGTCTGGGCTAGAGTGTAGTGGCGTCATCATAGCTCCCTGCAACCTCAAATTCCTAGGCTCAAGCAGTCCTCCTGCCTCAGCCTTCCAAGAAGTTGGGACTACAGGTGTGTGCCACCAAGCCCAGCTGATTTCTTTTTTTTAAATTTCTGTATGGATGGGGTCTCACTATATTGGCCAGGCTGGTCTTGAACTCCTGGCCTCAAGCAATCCTCCTACCTTGGCCTACCAAAGTGCTAGGATTATAGGCATGAACTACCATATCCAGCCCCTTTTTTCTGTTTTATACTTTTTGTTAGTGCAGAGTGATTGGCTTAAGTGGCTATCCTTTTGGGATCTTTTTTTGTTATTTGGTAATTTTTCATTGTTCACTCATATTTTTTTTAAAATGTATTTATTTCAGAGTGAGATGATTATATGAATCTCCCTCCACACCTTGGTGGAGTTTTCATAGTTCCACTTGGCAGTGAATCATTGCACAGTGGCATGTGGGGGCCAAGTCACTGAGATTTTCTTAATTTTAGATATTTTTGTTTAATTTTTCTCCTTTGTAGTCAATGGAAATATTTCAGTCAAAATTAGAAGAAGCTGAAAAAACTGCATCCACAAAAGAAGATTATAGACGAGAACGGTGGAGGAAACCAACATTTTCAGATAAAGCACAAAATAGTCAAGAAAGTAGGAAATCAGACTTGGTAAGATATAATAGCAGTTCAAGGGATAGATATGCTACAACAGATACTGTAAATGATAGCAATAAAGATAAGTTTAGTGGTGATGAAAAAGATAAGAGATATGCATCTTTAGAAACATGTAGAAGAGAATCCAACCCAAGGAAAAATCAAGAGTTTTCTTCTCTTGGAAATTTGAAACCCAAGTTTTTAAGACCTTCTGATGATGAAGAACTATCACATCACCACAAGGGCAGAAATTTTGAACCATCTAGTTCATCTTCAGCATTTGTAGCTCAGGGTTCTTTTCACTGTGGTTTTCGAAAACCCACTGAGAGCAGTGAAGAATGTTTAACATCGCGGAGTCAATCTGTGGGAAGAGGAGATAAGAAACATTCAAATCAAAAGCCATCAGAAACCAGTAGCAGTGTTGAATACCGACACATTCCAGGAGATGTGACAGAAAAATTAAGAGATGAAAGCTTGAGAGATGACCCTCCAAAAAAAGAACATCTACAGGACACAAAGTCTACATTTGCAAGGTATTTTAGCATTTGTTTTTTAACCTGATAAGTGAATATTAAAGTTCAGAGGGTTCAAAGAAACATATGTTTAGAACATCAGTTGTTAGATAACGACTGTGGCCTCCCATTTCTTAAAATTGATGGAAGAGATAAGATATGCAGATTTAACAATATAGTAGCATTTTATGGACTGCATTTATTTCACAGTTTTATTTGAAAAAGAGCTAGAAGAATTCAATAGCTACATTTGCTCATAATTTGTTACTTTTTTTGCAGTTTAAAAAACTGAATCAGTTAAGCCTTTAAATGGATATACTGCAGGAGATATTTTGGTACATTTTGCTACCAATGCCATATTACTTCCTAAGGAAATTATTTTATTGTTAAGTATAATTGTAATAATAAATACTACATGTCTGTAAGAGGTCTAGGAGATTGAAGGAAAATATACTGCTACATCTCAAATATGAAGTGACAAAGACATGCCAAATATCCTACAGAGGGAAGCATGAACTATGGTTGTTTTGCAGAGAAAGGAATTATCCAGTTTGGGCAAGTGACAGATTTTAAAGATAACGTTAGTTTTAAGTGTAAAATAAGGCAGGCTAGTGATTGTACCCATAATGATTAGGGAAATAGGTAGCACTTGATATTTTTTTATTGCTATACCTGTTAACACTTACATAGGACTGGATCAGAAAATAAGGAAACACAGCTTGAGTGAGATCAAACCTAGGAAAACTTGATTTAGCTATAGGGCTGGCCTTCTTGGAAATAGGCAGAAATAAAAAGTAAGTGTCCAAGTGATAATGACAAACTTATATTTGAATACTCATTCAATATTAATATGTTAAAAAATACCACCAAGTGAGTGGGACACTAAAAGAAGTTTTAGGAAATAATAGAAATCAATGGTAGTAGTAAGATGTGAACATTGCGGTTTGGGGTTGTGAGTCTGACAAACCGGTTTTGTTAATGACTCCATCTGAAGCAGTGGATTAAAGGCACAGTGTGTAATTTTCAGTGGGAGGGAGCTGGCAAAACATGAACTGAATGATTGAGCCCCAGTCAAATGGGCTCTGGTTCAGGCCAGGGCTTTGCTCCCAGGAAACTGACGGAGAAATCCAGTTGTAGTGACTGAATAAACATGGCAGGGATTAGTGTATAAGGCTGTGTGCATATATAATTGTCCAGGCTTCACTCCAGGTAGCCTGAGTGGTAGACTAATTCAAGTTCCCAGTTGCTGATGTGATGGGGCTCTTATTTCCTGATATTATTAGGGTTGAGTTAACATTTGGACCATCTGTACGTCTTGACTTCTGTGAGTGTAGCTAAATGGAGTATGCAAGGTAATCTTACACTGTTAGTATTCCATATGGTTGTCTGATTGCTTCATATTTGATTGTCTTATTTAAATTGTAAGCTTTTGATAGATATACTATAATACAGGCACTCAATAAAAGCTGCGTGTGTGTGTGTGTCTGTGTATTATTGATTTGAAGGTGGTGTTCTTTGTCAGCTGTGTTAATTTTGGAAGGTTTGTGGCTTTCCATGAATTCCATGACTTGCTGGAGAGGGAAAGGTAAATCAGGAATGATCCCCTATATGTGAAATAAATAAAAAGATTCCTGAGCATGTTGAGTGGTATAAAATCAGATACCAAGATAAGACCTTGAAGAATGCCTGGAAAGACTTAGTGAAAGGTTGTTAGAAGCTGTTCATTTGTCTGCACATTATCCTGGGAACTTTTTATAAAATTCTGGAATTCTAGGGAGCTTTAGAACCAATGAATTTTAGAACCAATGAATTTTAGAACTAGAAAAAAATTGTAGAAATGATTTAGAACTAGAAGGAATCATAGTCTGCTGCGTGCATTTTGCAGATGAGAGAAACTGAGGGAACTGAGGGTGTGACTTCCACAATGTTATGTAACTAGGGTTTTCAGATTTTTAAATACAAAATAATAAATCCCTTGTAATATTATGCTAAAAATCTTTCTTGTTTACCTGAAATTCAAATTTAACTGAGTATCATGTATTTTATTTGGCAACCCTGAGTGTAACACTTAACCAGTTCTTAGGCCTATGACCTTTTATAAGAGTTGATGCCTGATCTTGCTGTACTTCAGTTTCATTATCTTATAACAAGGATACTAACAGGATCTACTTCATGGAGTTGTTGTGTGAATTAAATATATATGGAAAACTTAACATGGTATCTGGCACATAGTAAGTGCTCCATAAATCTTAGCTATTATTGTTGCTATTAATATTACAATGTAGTTAGTTATTTGCAAAGCTTAGATTCCATGTCTTTCAATGCCTATTTACTATGCTTTCAAATAAGGTTAAAAGGAGAAGCACAAATTGACTTTGAAAGAAAAAGTCTTTTCTTTTATACACTGATTATGGAAAAGTTATTGATACCCTTTATGAGAGTAATTTAGGTAGAATATGAGAAACGTTGACCAATGAGAGGTATAGGAGAGAGGAAGAAAGATATATTAACATAAGAAGTGAAGAATTTTTAGTTGAAGTCTGGAAAATACTTTTAGTTTGTTGTAAAATGGATATTGGAATATAGGTCAGTCTTCCAGATTGTGGAAAAGTTGTAATAACTAATATCTTTGTCTAGTATGAATAATGATTAAAAAAATTAGTTGAATTGGTTTTACTTCTTTGCATTGTTTATATATGTTTACCTTTCCTGCTGTTTACTTCAATATTATTTTGCAAAACATTAAGCCATTTGCAATCATGTAAATAATAAATGTGTGCATAAAATTTAAACAGTGTAGACAGAAGAATATAAAACAAGAACATATAATTTAATTTAAACAGAAGAGTATAAAATGAAAAAGTAAGTCTCCCTGTCTTATCACCCCTAACCCTAATTCCACTTGTCAGGTTAACAATGTTAATAGTGTCTTTTCAAAAAAATTTTTAGTCCATTTTAATATGTGTAATATGTATATTTAACTTAATATATAAAATTATATATAGATTACATATATAAAAACTTATGTAAGCTAAATAGCTTTATGATGCATATACTGTTCTGAACTTTGTTTTTTCTAATCAATATATCTTAAAGGTATTTTCACTTGAGCCCATATGTACTTACCTTTTTTATTTTAAAGGCTCTTTACTATTCTGTTGTAAAATGTAGGTATAACCTAATATTTTCACCAGTTTCCTATTGATGGACTTTTAGGTTCTTTTCAGTTTGTTGCTCTTACAATGCTGCAGTTAAGTTTTTATGTGTATCTTTGCATACTATTTAAATATAGCTGTAATGTAAATTCCAAGGAGTGGAATTGTCAGGCCAAAAAGAGCATGCATTTTATTTTTTATATATTTTGTGGTATTAACCTATTTAAATTCTTTTTTTTTTTTTTTTTTTTTTTGAGACAGAGTCTCGCTTTGTTGCCCAGGCTAGAGTGAGTGCCGTGGCGTCAGCCTAGCTCACAGCAACCTCAAACTCCTGGGCTCGAGCGATCCTTCTGCCTCAGCCTCCCGAGTAGCTGGGACTACAGGCATGCGCCACCATGCCCGGCTAATTTTTTATATATATATCAGTTGGCCAATTAATTTCTTTCTATTTATAGTAGAGACGGGGTCTCGCTCTTGCTCAGGCTGGTTTTGAACTCCTGACCTTGAGCAATCCGCCTGCCTCGGCCTCCCAAGAGCTAGGATTACAGGCGTGAGCCACCGCGCCCGGCCTACCTATTTAAATTCTTACAGTCATATATGAGAGTGACTTTCTGCTACTTCCTTGCCAATAGCATTACTGAACTTTTTTATCTTTGCTGTATATATAATTGAGAAACAGATTCTTTCTTTGAAAGATGTATGAGTGAAGTTGGCCATATTTTTATGTGTTGCTTATATTTCTTTTTTGTTTTTATTTCATTTTTGTTAAGTGGTCATATGTTTTGCCTACTTTTTTAGTTCTTTACTTAAGAGAACTCTTCATATTTGTCATGTAATGCAAATAGTTTTTTCATCATTTGTAATTTTCCTTTGTTCCTTCTTTCTTTTTTTTTCATCCATTCTTTCATTCTTTCCTTAATGTGATCAAAATTTATCATGCTTTGTTTTTTTGTTCTTGTTAGGCCCGCAATTATCTTAACTAGGAGAAAAATTTCTGTCAGTAGTGGCTCATGTGGTTAAGAACTTTAAGCTTATTATTATTAGAAATGAAATGTGCTTTTGCATGTATATTTTTGTTGGAAAATATATTGGCTAAGTACTTTCAGCAATTTGGAACCTAAAGTAGTATGTACTATGAACAAAAATTACTGTGATGGCCTTACATTTATTAATTTAATATCAGAAACTAACTCATTTTATATAGTATTTTAACCTTTTGTTGTCATTCTTGGCAGAGTTTGTTATTGTAGCCCAGAAAGGCAAGAGAAGGATGCCAGGTTCTGAAGGCTTTGAGTATAGTCATGAGATCCTTAGGTGAGTGAGCAAGTAGGAGAACAACTGGTAAGAAAAGACTAATTAAGAGAGATCTGTGAATGCTGCCAGCATGAGAATAATGCAGTCATGTGTTGCTTAACAATGGGGATGCGTTCTAAGAAATTGTCGTTAGGCAATTTTGTCATTGTATAAACCTCATAGAGTGTACTTACACAAACCTAGATGGTATAGCCTACTATACACCTAGGCTATATAGTATAGCCTATTGCTTCCTAAGCGACAAACTTGTAAGCACGTTACTATACTGAATATTGTAGGCAATTATAACACAATGATAAGTATTTGTGTATCTAATCATATCTAAACATAGAAAAGTTACAGTAAAAATATGGTATTATTCTTAGGGACCACTGTTGTATATATGGTCTGTCATTGACTGAAATGTTGTTATGTAGCACAGGATTAATTGCAATATACTCCAGTTTTTGAAATGTCATTGGGCTGGAGCCCTTTTAATTACTTCTTCCTCAGAAGTGTGTGTGTGTGTGTGTGTGTGTGTGTGTGTGTTTTAAAGAGAATACATTTTAATGG